TATAACAATAGTCTACAAGATAACGCAACTATTATTGTGCACGTGTAACTCGAAACTCTATTAAAATCCAGCTGACTTCCAGATGCTCCATTGCACTAGCGTTTGACAGCTTTTAATACCATTGAGCATGTATGGAACATATTGCAACATTCAAGATTACTTTCAGCCACAGTGAAAAAACCCTTTTACGGGCAGCTGTAAAATGTGTCTAGATTGATATATCCACGCTACGATTCCATCATCTGGGTAGGTCTTACCATTAAGAATAGTAGAAACACTAATTAACCAGTGTTTCTTCTGTTGAATCTTGATTGGTTCAAGAAGCGGCTTTCTTCTTGCTACCCTGCCATAGTTACCGACGTACTGAATATACTTTACTTCCATTCATTAATAACGTCTTCAAAATGTATCACTATGCAGCATTCTTTTCAGCTTACCGTCTCGCCTCACGGATACACCTTTACAATGAGCCAAGTTAACCAATAAGTTTCTTTCTTTTATTAATGAATTGCGAATCACGTGATTTACTGTTGAATGTAGAATTCTCTATACTGATGTTATTTACTGCTGATTATTTGCATCTTTGAACTGACCAACACTAAACCTTTCGAAATCAAAAAAAAAAAAAAACTTGTTTAACTCTGGATCGTTAAGTGATCTATTTAGTTTTTATATTAAATTTAATAATTGTCAATGAGTATATTTTTATTAGATGTTATATTTGATAAAAGCAATGATGTCTTTTTACTTTCGTCATGTCTCTGTATATAGATTTAATTATTTGTCTATATTGAGTGTTGAATAAATACAAACTTACATATCAAACAAAGGATTTGAATACAAAAATATTTAAATATTAATTCTTTACTATCAACCTTCTATATCTGTACATGTTTTTTGATCTTTCCATTAATGCAATTTTCATTATGTCCCACAAAGACAAAGAAAAAAAAAGACAGGATCCGTAGCATAACAAATTATGGATCGACCGAGACCGCGATCAACTCGTGCGCCTGACCACGAAGAACACGTTTTACAGGCTGTCGGAGACGATCCAGGTATCAGCACGTATCAAGTGGCCCTAGCATGTCTTACACCTCATAGTACCGCATAGAGAGTACTTCAAGTACAGCTCCTGTATCCGTATCATTTGCAACCTGTGCAGGGTCTTTCGCCCGCTCATAACTCACCATAGGAGAACTTTTACCGATGGTTTATTGCACAAACTTCTAATCTGTTGTTCGTCTCTTTAGTCTTGTTTATGGATAAGACAATATTTGGAAGAGATGGAATAATGAATTTACACAACCAACATTTGTGGGCGGATCAGAATCCTCATGGTACACTATAGGCTAGACAGCAGCATTAGTTTACAATTGACGTGTGAGCTGGAATTGTAGGTAAGTGTCTGGTAGGTCCATATGTTCTCCTAGCACATCTTACAGGAGCTGTCTACAGGGATATTATTTCGAACACACTTCCAGACCTACTGGAGGATGTCCCCCCCTGCTAATACGAAGACGCATGTGGTTCATGCTTGATGGGGCTCCAGCACATTTTAGTCACATTGTTCACGATTCACTGGCTGACATCTACTATGAAAGATGGATAGGTAAGGGAGAACCGGTTCCACAGCCTGAACGTTCCCCTAACCTCAATCCTTTGGATTTTTATGTGTACGGCAGGCATTAATTCAGGAATAATTCGTTAATGTGTCATGGGAGCCTGCAAAACCATTCGACAGTATTTGAAAGGATCCGCCAGTCAATGATCCAACGGGTGCATACGTGTGCAGAAGCAAGCGGAGGACATTTTAAACTGTTATGAATTGCTCTGTTGAGATACAACCATGATATTTTGGACATATGTTTATATGGGCATTTTACCTTGTTTTGGTGTCAGGAACCTGTCCCAAAGCTTCTAAACATATTTTGATACACCATATATATATATATATATATATATATATATATATATATATATATATATATATATATATATATATATGTGTGTGTGTGCGTAGGCGAAATTAGCATAGATATATCCACTGATAATTTAGACATATATCTATATAAACTATATACGAATATGCATCAATGACAAATAATTATTGAATGTTGACCGAAAAATTCACTCTATAATCTTCAGTATATGTGATTAATATTTTACACTGAATTAAGTGCAATGACAAGCAAAGCGATTATTATGAAAAAATATATTACTTTACAAAATAAATATTTTTTTCATCATTAAATGTAGCAAGTTATACCGTATATAATTTCTACTGAAATGAATACGTGCACAAACCTAGATATCCCAAGAATATGCATAAATATTTACAGAATATGCATTGCATATACATGCACGTACAAATATTCACAATATGCTGAAAAGTTTTCAACTCAACCCACTTTAAAAAATCTGACTAAATATTGGCTTCGTACACCCCATCAACTATATAAAGTATACTTGGGCAGCAAAAGTGCGTTTAAACGTTTTTTTAATTTGCCTATTTTATAAGGAAACTTAAAATTTAATAGGAACAATTTGAAAAACAATTGCGTGCGTGTGTGTGTAGGGGTTAGTTTGAACATATATTTTTATACCTATATATACTTGAATACATGCAAGCGTATGCGGTTTAAACTACACATATACGTGATGAAGAAATTTGACATTGCATTTTTTAGAAGACACATTTACAAACACTTCAGTTCCTTATTATGCACGTAAATATGTGACACTAGAATCCAGTTATGTCGAAATGATATATCGATAAGAAGCCGTAAAAATCTTACCAATACATTTAAAAGCGGAAAACAGACGTTACAAAATTTACGAAGGCATTTGAAAAATAAAAAAAATGATGTCCATGTCCAATTTGTAAATTTAATTTTGAAAAATAATTTGTAAAGGGAAATCCTTTTTTAAATTATTTTTATTTACGCTTTTTTAAATATTTTTTTCATTTTTTGGGGTATTATTATGCATACTGCTGAATGACATGATTATCCAAAATTTGGGGCAATAGAAAATGACTTACAAGCATTTGCTTAAACACTTCGCTTCACATTAAGTTTTACTTATTTAACAAACAAAAATATATGTTATAAGTATCAGCTAATATATTTTTGGAATAAAAACCATAAGTTTGTTTTATCGATTTCATTCCACATTTCATTGAACAATCAAAGAATTTCAAAATATGTTGCTGACAAAAATGTGCAGGTAGTTAATTTCACGCACTTCGAACTTGTAATTGAAATTAATGAATGCTGTCATAACATGCACAATAGCGTGTACGGTTGGTGTATATGGATTTACAGTACACATACTTGTGGTTGGTACAAACAGTGTCATAATTTAAGGTAGTGCTTCAATAACTTTGGCACATACAACGCAATTTTGGTATAATGTAGATGCCATCAGCTAGATGTGTAAAGTATATAACATCAAATGCATTTTGTCAGCGGATATTAAGCTTCATTTTTATTCGGGATATTTCGATCTGGTATCTTCGTATGTATGTGTGTATGTACTTTAGAATGTATATTTATGTGTGTATGAGAGAGAGAGAGAGAGAGAGAGACAGAGAGAGAAAGAGAGAGAGAGCGAGAGAGAGAGAGCAAAAGAGAATCAGACAGACAGAGACAGAGTGAGCGAGTGCGATAAAGAGATACAGAAAGGTCGAAAAAAGTGTGATGGAGAGAGGTGAGCGCCCAGTCGTATCTATTCATCTGTACTGTATATAAATATAAACGAACGTATACCCCGTTCGTAGCGAATTTCGTCCACTTTTTCGATGTGCAAGCATATGTTGTCGGATCAAAGAGAAGAAGAAGAAGAAGAAGAAGAAGAAGAAGAAGAAGAAGAAGAAGAACTCACTGGCTTCGTTTTACTTTTAGGAGATGATACTAACAACAGGTGATTACATACCTAGAAAAACAAGCACAACTAAAAACGTTCCAATTATTGACAATATTACTAACAATAGTTATTAATATTGCTACCGTGTTTACGATAGATATTACTACGATTAACTGTAAATATACGTTCTGTGACAACTACTACTATTTCTACAATTATTATTTCATTTACAATCACTACTACTACAAGTACTATAAGAACGGTAACAATAACAAGAATGCCGGCAACACAAATATGACAATTTTAAAGTGAAAGAAAAAAACGAAAAAAACAAAAGAAAAAAAAGCAAAGAAAACTGATCAAAAGAAAATCTCTCAAACGACAAAAAAAGAAGATAAAACACACTTTAGAAAAAAAAAAAAAGAACGAAAATAAGGAAAAACAATAAAGGAAACAACGAATCGCAGCAGCTGCCCCCCCCCCCCCATCTTTTAAACTAAAAAAACACACACACACACACACACACACACACACACACACACACACACACACACACACACACATTTCTTAAACATTATAATCTTCTAGTCATCATCGTCTTCATCATCTTCTTAATAGATCACTTCAACAGCCCCATTTATTGCCATCGTTCAACATACTTTTAAAAAGCAGCGTCTTTATTGACAAGTAAAAAAAAACACTTAAAAGTCTTTTCTCCTTTATAAAGAGAAAGAAAAAGAAAGAGGGAGAGAGAAAGACATAAAGGGGAGAGAGAGGGGGGAAGACAAAACAAACTGACAAAATCGTTAGTTTTTTTCTTTCTGAAAGAAGTAAAAAAAAAATAAAATAGGATAAGTCCTCGTTTTTGTCAACTTACCGCACCTTCCCGGTCCGCAATACATCGACCCTCATTTTTCCCACCCCACTTCTTTTGGTTGGCACCAGTGGTACATACGCGTACTAAAGAGTCAGAGTAACTCTCTCGATCACATAGGGAAGGAGAGTGGGAGAACGAAGAGAAAAAAGAAAGAAGAAAGTAATATAAAATAATAATAAAAAAAAAAACGACAGAGGCTAGAGAGAGGAAGACAGAGACCAAGAGAAAAAGAACAAGGGAGGCAAAAGTAATGATAATGACACTACTACGAATGGCATTAGAAGTGGTAGTCACTGTGCTTTTTGTGGCAGGGACAGGCGGTGGTGGTGGTGGTGGTGGCGGCCTGTTACAGTCGGCGGGGGCTAGTCGACCGAACCAGAGGTTGAGGCTCCACAATTTTGACGGTAAGTGAAAATTTCATTAAAAAAAAAGCAATGTTAAAACAACCCCTTAAACACACACACACACACACACACACACACACACACACACACACACACACACACACATATATATATATATATATATACACGCCCCAAGTAAATCGAGTCTCCAACCCTGTAACCTAACAAGCATGTGCTTATACACAATGCTCTATTTTGTAATGTCTCGGTAACGTTTCTACATATTTTTGCTAAATGTGTTTCATTTGATTCTGTTACATGTTGACATCATACAAATGACATATGTGGACATAATTTGTATGTGATAATAAAACTTTCCAGTATGTCATATACGCACATATTGCATGTTTTTTTTAAAACCATATGCATATACGACCTTAGAGATGAAGTCTGCATAAGTATGCATGTATGTGTGTGTGTGTGTGTGTGTGTGCATTAGCTCATCTTTAAAGTATACACAATAAATTCATATAATAAATTTGACTATACGGTCAGATATATACATTCAAATATGCACTAAGACGAGTGTCTATCTGTGCATAGACATGTATAATTATATATTTTTGCATGTGCACACGAAAGAATAGAAAATTATGTAACCCCATACACACACACACACATATACATACACACACACACACACACACACATATATATATATATATATATATATATATATATATATATATATATATATATATATATATATATATGCGTGTGTGTGTGCGTGTGTGTACACGGATTGTTGAAATATTATCACCAGCCTGACCCAAAAAAACCTTCTAAAAAAATTCTGATGTTTGGTCATTTGGTCAAACTTGGGAAAGTGGGCAGTGTAACGGTTACCGACGCGAAAATCGGAATCGGCTTAATTCATTGCTTTCACTGTCTCACTCTTTGGAAGGCAGTGAATCCATCTATTCTTCTCCCAGCTATACAGTAAATATCAACATAGATTGTGGTTTAGCCTTGAGTGGCAGCCAGTCTAATTGAACTACATTAGGCTCTAAGCCACAGCGAACAAAAAAACAGGAAACCATTCTGTTATCTGTCCCAAGAAATCATAGTAATTAAAAAACAAAAACAAACAAAATATCTTTTCTTGTCAATTGTCTTAAGTTTGAGTTCAGTGAAAATTTCAGAACAGCATTACAAACCTATTGATGCACACTTATCTATTGTCTTTCTCCCTCCCCCTGCTCTCCCCCACTCTATATATATATATGAAGTATATTTAGACAGCAAGTATTCATCCAAACAAGTTAGTTAAATGTAATCAACAAAGCTTGTCTGTTTCATTTGTAATTGTACATATCATGTACATATGACCCTCCATGTATACACACCCTGAAACACATATATATACTATAATAACTACAGGTTTATGAATCTTAGGTTTTGTATTTTGGGAAGATGTTTATTGATACAAATTCACGGGCCTAAGGTCTGAAACTGATCGTAATTTAGGATTTTGGCTTAATGTAATAACAATTCGAAAATCTTTAGTTAAAACTTTATCAAAAGATGAGATCATTCGTTATCGATCTTTTCACCGATATTAATCTGGTTGTAGAGATGTACATAAAATAAATATTTAGAAACTTTATTTGTGCACCTATGAAGATATCAAGTTCGAAATGATTTATGAAACAAATCTTATCGAAAGTAACGTTCTACGTTATGTTTTCATTAAGAAATTGTGGAAGACACGTGGAATACCATCATTAATACCGGCTCAATGAAAATCTGAATACCATATTGTTTTATTGCACGTTTTCATACTCGTAAATATGTTGTGTACATTTTGATACACATAAAATTCATCTACGAATTCTAGTTGATTAACTAATTTACGTATGTTAGTCTGCTTTTGATTAATTTCATTAAAAATGTCTACTGTCTTTTCTGAATGTTTGACAAATTCGAATTCAAAAAAGGCGCCCTCTATTCAACAAATTAATGCAATACAATACACGCTCGAAGAGCACGGGCCACAAATAAATAATATGTATAAGCACTTGTTTCGCACGCGGCTCCACACAAAGATGAACTCACATAGATGAAAAATGCATCATGCTCTTACTGATAAAGTATATGATCGAATTAATAAGGTGATCTTGTGCGTGATATTTATTACCAACTTAATTTTCCCATTCACTATTGAATATTGTTGTATTACTCTCTTTTAGTAAAAGGGACAATATTTCATCATTCCTAATTTACTAAAAAAATTATGGGAATTTTAATCGTTTCCGTGAGCATCTATAAATATAGCCTTCACATCTGTTTTAAATGGTAAATACATCTGTCTACTTGCAGATTTTCCAATAGCTTGTGAGGCGAGGTGAATTTACAATATGAACTCACCCCACCCCTAGTGCAGACCCGGCAAATACTTTTCCTTAGAAACACTCTAAATTAACAACCACTTTTAAGATACTAGTCTGTACTATGAGATAACTTACTTGATATGCAACATAGACGCGTCCCCAGTAAAAATATTAGCAGTAATAGTTGCGCAAGTAATTCCAACCTAATCCTTTTAAACATCAATTTTGTAATAATAATAATAATAATAATAATAATAATCACAAAAAGGTAAAAAAAAAGTCGTAAATATAATAGATGACTAAAATAAGTATCGCTGATTAGCATCAGATATTTTGGGTTTTTGTTTATCTTCAGAGTCATTCAATCAAATGTGGATGCATATGTTTTTTTTTCTAATCTCCTAGTTAAATTATTTTCTATTTATTTAATTCATCTAAATACTTTTACATTTTAAAGTATTTAGATGAATTAAATTAATAGAAAATAATTTCACTAGGAGATTACAAAAAAATCACACACACACACACACACACACACACACACACACATATATATATATATATATATATATATATATATATATATATATATATATATATACGAATGTCTAACAGGTGTTTATCCGAGAATGTTTGCTTCATCTTGACTGCAGACGATTAAGGTACAATTAAAAGGTAGGGAATATTCACACACACACACAACCACACAGGAATACATGCACAGACTTTCGAACCTGTTTCATATTGATTTAATTCTCTTGTTAAATATATTATAGTCGACTCTTGGAATCTTTTTCCAGACTTGAAATCGGAATTTTCATAATGTGAAATGAAAAATACTTAACTTTTATGCTAGGAAGTTAGCAACTTTTTATATTTCTTTACGATTATGATCACAAGTGTTTGTAATCATTCAATATTCAATACTATTAAAATACAAACGGTAAAACGACTTTTATTATTACTATGAATTCAAACCTGATGCGGGGAGATCTTCATAAAAAAGAAACATTATTGCAGCTGCTGCTGCTACTACTGCAGTTACAACTACTCATACTACTGATTCATTAAACTATTTGTAGTAAAACCACTTGTAGGTTTTCGCCGGGTATCTCGTATCTTGTAAATTTATATTAGTTAATATCTTTATACAGATGATTCACCCAATTCACGACCTTAAAGTGTATCCAGACATTTTCTAAGTTTTCTTTACTCTCTAATGATTTCCAGTACATATATGTGACTAAATTTCGTAATACACCCAAAGACAGACGCAAAATACTTTCACTTTTCTTAATTAGATATTTTTATTAACTATAAGAGCCCAAATTTTCCGTGTTTGACTAATGGGAAACAAATGTGTGATTTCAGCATATTAGTTTTTGTTTTAATTCCAAAACGTTTGATTTTTTTCGCGAGGGATTTTTGTCACGATGTAATGCTATACCGGCCCCTTACACTGTGTCAGCCAGGTTAGCTAAACCGAACCTTTATCGTTTTGTTGATATCAAGGCGAAATAATTCTAACTAGAAACTAAAGAGATGACCATATATCTAATTTTTGCATGACTTTTTCGCATTTTTACAAGAAATTCATGGCTATTAAAAAAGGTTTGTTTTATAGTACAGGCAATAACCAATAGAGTTCATAGACAGTGACTCTCTCGTGTTTTCTTGCGGCTCACGACCAAAGCTGACCTGAAATGACATGCTTCTCTTTAGGTGGAATCTAGAAGGTCGAAAATGTTGCCAAATTAATTGCTCTGCATTCCCGGATTTGCTTTTTATGACCGGCTTCACTTGCAGAGCATTAAAGAAAAAGTGTTTAGCAGTGATGATTTCTATGTACATATTGTCTATATATATAAACGCTCTACGACAGTGAACAGTCTTATGTAAATACACACACACACACACACACACACACACATATATATATATATATATATATATATATATATATATATATATATTTGGTTGGATTGATGTGAGTTTGTGACACTGGGTTTCACGCATTTTGTAAAATTTTATACATATATATATATATATATATATATATATATATATATATATATTATACATATACATATACATACATACATATATATATATAAATTTTATACATATATATATATGTATAAAATTTTATACAATATATATATATATATATATACATATGGGACAACCCTGAAATGAAAACCTGCGGAGCTTCGTTTGGGGACTTTGTGGCACATAGTGCACGAGGTCTCTGTATTCGGCCCTTCAAAATGTGTGGTTGGTTCTGCACAAAGCTTTCACTACTATAATCAAATCATATGTGTAGGTTCTGGCTGTCCGTTCCTAAGAACTGAGTTGCTTGACGCTCATACGTCGAATACCACGAGAGAGTCCAGCACACACACACACACACACACACACACACACACACACACATATATATATGTTTGTGTGTATGTATGTGTGTGTGCTGAATCAAAAATAGTTTACTCTTTTTTTCTATACGATCAAATATGTTGTATATGTTGAGGTAGGTTTGTGCGAGTAATATCTGACATTTTTCAAAGGAAATTAATAAAAACACCAAATCTCAGTATTCTAATTTTAGTAATCTGGATAATGTAATGTTTTATTAGTTTTCTAACAAGATCGAGATATTATTATTATTATTAT